TTTCTTTTCTTTTCTTTTCTTTTCTTTTCTTTGCGACAGAGTCCCTCTGTCACCCAGGCTGGAGTGCAGTGGTGTGATCTCGGCTCACTGCAACCTCCGCCTCCCAGGTTCAAGCGATTCTCCTGCTTCAGACTCCCGAGTAGCTGAGATTACAGGCGCCCGCCACCTCGCCCAGCTAATTTTTGTAGTTTTAGTAGGGATGGGATTTCTCCATGTTGGCTAGCCTGGTCTCAAACTCCTGACCTCAAGTGATCCACCTGCCTTGGCCTCCCAATGTGCTGGGATTACAGGCATGAGTCATCGTGCCTGGCCTGAAGGCTTTTATTTTTAACCAATTTTCATATATATATATCTTTTTCTTTTTTTTTTAATTTCCAGGAATTTCTAATTTTTAAAAATTTATTTTATTATTATTATTATTTTTTATTTTTTATCTTTTTGTGACAGAGTCTCTCTCTATTGCCCAGGCTGGAGTGCAGTGGTGTGATCTCAGCTTACTGCAACCTCTACCTCCCAGGTTCAAGCGATTCTTCTGCCTCAGCCTCTTGAGTAGCTGGGATTACAGGTGCATGTCACCATGCCCGGCTAATTTTTTTGTATTTTTAGTAGAGACAGTGGGGTGGTGGGGGCAGGGCAGTTTCACCATGTTGGCCAGGTTGGTCTCAAACTCCTGACCTCAGATGATCCACCCGCTTCGGATTCCCAAAGTGCTGGGATTACAGGCGTGAGCCACCGTGCCTGGCCGATATTGTTCCCATCTTTATGTCCATGTGTACCCAATGTTAAATCCCTGCTTATAAGTGAGAACATGGGTTATTTGGTTTTCTGTTTCTGTGTTAATTGGCTTAGGATAATAACACCCAGTGCATCCACGCTGCTGCAGTACACATGATCTTATTCTTTTTTATGGCTGTATAGTATTCCAGAGTGTATATGTACCACATTTTCTTATCCAGTCCACTGGTGATGGGCACCTGGGTTGACTCCAGGTCTTTGCTATCGTGAGTGGTGCTGTGACGAACATACGAGGGCGTGTGTCTTTTTGGCAACACAATTACTTTCTCCTTTGGGTAGATACCCAGTCCTGGGGTTGCTGCCTCAAATGGTGGTTCTATTTTTAGTTCTTTGAGAAACCTGCGAGCTGCTTTCCACAGTGGCTGAACCAATTGACATTCCAACCCACAGTGCGGAAGAATTCCCTTCTCTCACATGTTGCTGAGTTTGTAATTTCGTTTTTATTTTTGGCTCCTGTGAATTTCCCTTTTTTTTTTTTTTTTTTTTTTTTTTTAGAGCTCAGCATTTTGTTTCCTCAACATTTCTAGGGTTTTTGTAATGGGAAGAGGTTTTTGTTGTTGTTGTTTCTTGTGTGTTTGTTTGTTTTTGATCTAGTTTGCCAGATGAGCAGGAGTGGAGGTCTCCTCCAAGGCCCCTTTTAGTCTATGTCCACCGTATTGACAGAAATGGGTTTCTCCTCCCTCTTCCTTTATATCCTGTGGTCGTCTATATTGGTGGAAGGGGAGGTCTCTTCCTGTCTATTCTAGAACACTGCTTTCTTTACAAGGCCCTACTGACTTCTCAACAAACCTGTGAGTCAGGGAAGATGATTCCTCTTCTACGAGAGGAAGACATGAAGGCTTAGAGTAGCAAAGGCCCCAAGGAATGGGTTCTGTTGGGACAGCTTCAGGGTTTGGGTTCCAGCAGTTACTCTTCCCTGAAAGGGTCAAGGTTGCTTCTTCCGTGACTGGGGCTTGGTGGGGAACGGGCCTGGTCCCCGGACTCAGGGCCTGGTGACCATCTGGTTCCAGATATAACGTCGAGGTCAAGCACATTAAAATCATGACAGCAGAGGGACTGTACCGGATCACAGAGAAGAAGGCTTTCCGGGGGCTTACGGTAAGGGCCAACATCCGCTCAACCCCAGCTTTCCAGAACCTAGGAGGACCCTCCCTGCACCTGCGCCTTGGGACCCCCTTTTCCTACATTCAGGGTGACCCCCCTTCAGTGGCACTACAGTGAAAGCGACCTTAAACTTATGTTCTTAATGATGGACAATGGGAGTAATAATGACTAACAGCAGTTGAGTATTGACAGAGCATTTAAGTGTAAGATATATTAATTTTTAAATTTTATTTATACATATATACATATGTTATGTATATATGTATGTGTGTATATATGTATATATACATATATGTATGTGTGTATTTAAATTTTGCTTACATATATACTACATATGTATATGTAGTATATATGTATATATGTGTGTCTTTTTATTTATATAGATAGATAGATTGAGAGAGAGAGAGAGTCTTGCTCTGTTGCCCAGGCTGGAGTGCAGTGGTGCAATCATCATACACTGACTGCAGCCTCAAATTCCTGGGCTAAATAATCCTCTCGCCTCAGCCTCCTGAGTAGCTGGGACTATAGGCATGCACCATCATGCCTGGCTCATTAAAAAAATTTTTTTTTTGTAGAGATGGGGACTTGCTTTGTTGCTCAGGCTGGCCTTGAACTCCTGGGCTCAAATAATCCTTCTGTCTTGGCCTCCCAAAGTGCTGGGATTACAGGTGTGAGTTACTGCATTCAGCCCTCAAATATGTTCTAGATAGGAACCTAATTAATCCCCTCAACCATCTTTCTGAGTCCCCATTTCACAGATGGGCAAAACTGAGGTTTACTCCTCATCTAGCTTCACTGAATGGCAGACCCATAGCTTGTCTTTGCCTAATCTGCTGCATAATTGTTTTGGCAATAATTCAAATGCCTTTTGAATGTTCTTTCTTCTGTTTGGTGCCTTGTAATTTTCAGCCATATTTTAGACATTTTTAGGCCTAGTGGTCTAAGGCATATGGTTTTTATCCATGGTCTGTGAGCCCTTGAGAAGCTGAGTCCTCTGAAAGAAAGTCCAGAATTGTGCATGCATCTATATTTTTTGTCTTAGATTTCACTCGATTCTCAAATGGATCCTTGACTCCCCCAAAGGTTAATTTATTCAACAAATCTCTTTTTTCCTCCATACTTTTTATTCTGAAACACGTTCCCCCAATTTTTAACTTCTGAAAAATTTCAGACAAGTTGTTGGAATAGGGTAATCAGTATCTATGAACCTTTCATATAGGTTTACTTTAAAAAAAAATACAAGAGACAGAATCTTGCTCTGTGGCCCAGGCTAGAGTGCAGTGTTGTGATCATAGCTCACTGTAGCTTCAAACCCCTGGGCTCAGGCGATCCTCCTTCCTCAGCCTCCTGAATAGCTGGGACTACAGGCATGCACTGTCATGCCTGGCTAATTTTTTAATATTTTGTAGAGATGGGATCTTGCTATGTTGCCCAGGCTGGCCTTGAACTCTTGGCTTCAAGTGATCCTCCCACGTTGGCTTCCCAAGGTGCTGAGATTACAGGCATGAGCCATTGCATCTGGCCCAATGATGATTGTTAATTGTAAATTAAGGCACGTGGCACCCATAGAAGGTTTCAAATTTGGCGAGCTAATTATCTGGCAAATTTATCACGAAGTGAATTAGTCCACTATTAGAAGAACTTGTTTTAGGCAATGTGGTGCCTTCCCCATAAATGGTCCTGGCTGCTCAGGAAGGTGATGAACTCCCCATCATGGGGGGCATTCAAGGGGTCACTTGCCAAAGAGGCCAGAGGCAGGGCCTGCTTCATATGAGGAGTTGCATATGGCTCTTCCTAGCTCTGCCCCCTTATGGGCTGGCCTGCTGGGATAGCATCTGCCATGTTGTCCGCCTTCTAGGAGCTGGTGGAGTTTTACCAGCAGAACTCCCTAAAGGATTGCTTCAAGTCTCTGGACACCACCTTGCAGTTCCCCTTCAAGGAGCCTGAGAAGAGGACCATCAGCAAGCCAGCAGGTAGGAGGCCTCAGACTGGGCGCTTACAGCCCCAGCCCCTTCCCACTGTGGAGGGAAAGTTTGGAGATGACACTGACACCCCTTCCAATGGGTTTGCAGAGGTCGTATCTGTGCAGTAGCAGGAACCCCTTTCCACTCCTGTCTATCCCTTCATACATATATACACATACATATATATATACATATATATATATATATTTTTTTGAGACAGAGTCTCACTCTGTCGCCTAGGCTGGAGTGCAGTGGTGCAATCTTAGCTCACTGCAACCTTTGCCTCCCACCTTCCAGGTTCAAGGGATTCTCATGTCTCAGCCTCAAAATAAAAAAATAAAAATAAAAATTCAAAAACAGTTTTATTTTCCGGCTGGGCGCGGTGACTCACACCTGTAACTCCAGCACTTCGGGAGGCCAAGGCGGGTGGATCACTTGAGGTGAGGAGTTCAAGACCAGCCTGGCCAACATGGTGAAGCCCCATCTCTACTAAAAACATAAAAACCAGCCGGGCATGGTGGCACAGGCCTGTAATCCCAGCTATTCAGGAGGCTGAGGCAGGAGAATCGCTTGAACCCGGGAGGCATAGGTTGCAGTGAGCTGAGATCGTGCCATCGCACTCCATTCTGGGCGACAGAGCAAGACTCTATCTCAAAAAAAAAAAAAAAAAAAAAGGTCTTATTTTCTAAATTTGAATGGGAGGATGATACTGGGAGTACAGTTGTATCCCCTTATAGCAGAGGGCATCTAATACTCTGCAACGAAGAGCACTGATAACTCCTTTATCTGTAGTTACCATCTCAAGAGCTTGTGCCCCCCGACAGGGAGTGCGTATCTGCCCCAGACCCTTTTCTCAGTTCTGTTCTCTCTCCACAGTGGGAAGCACAAAGTATTTTGGCACAGCCAAAGCCCGCTATGACTTCTGCGCCCGGGACCGATCAGAGCTGTCGCTCAAGGAGGGTGACATCATCAAGATCCTTAACAAGAAGGGACAGCAAGGCTGGTGGCGAGGGGAGATCTATGGCCGGGTGAGGCAGGCAGGGCTGGGTGACAGGGGGAAGGCATGGGGGTTGACCTGGTGGTGGAGGGGACAGGAATTGGGGACTGGAGAAGGTGAGGTGTGGCTCCCGTGGAGGTCTCTCTTGGTTGGAGGGAAGGAAGGGACACAGGGATGCCATTTATGCATTTATGCAACCTACCTGCATGTATTGAGCACCTGCTGTGTACAGACATGGTGCTGGGTGCCAAGGAGACAGAAACAAGCATGGTACAAGGACTGCCCTCATGAAACTTATAATCAAATGTGGAGGACAGACTTGCAACCAAGCAGTCATGACGCTGAGTGGTCAAGATTAACAAGGGTGCTGGTCACGGTGGCTTATGCCTGTAATCCCAGTGCTTTGGGAGGCTGAGGTGGGAGGATCTCTTGAGGCCACAAATTCGAGACCAGTCTGGCTAAAATAGTGAGATCCCACCTCTCCATAAATAAAAGTAAAAACATTAGTTGGGTGTGGTAGTGTGTGCTTGTAGTCCCAGGTACTCGGGAGGCTGAGGTGGGAGGATTGCTTGAGTCCAGGAGTTGGAGGCTGCAGTGAGCTATGATTGTTCCACTGCACTCCAGCCTGGGCAACAGAGATCTATGCATGCAGCCATCTGTTAATCTATCTCTATATTTATCCATCCATCTACCTACCCATCAGGCCATTAATTCATCTATCCATCTATCCAACCACCATCCACCAAAGCATGTATCCATCCACCCATTCATCTATCCATCCATCCATCCATCCATCCATCCATCCATCCATCCATCCATCACCTATCCATTATCTATCTATCGATCGATCTATTATCTATCTATCTATCTATCTATCTATCTATCTATCTATCTATCTATCTATCTATCTATCTATCGTTCTACCTATCCACCTACCTATCAATCCAATAATCCATCCATTCATCTATCCATCCATCCAACAAATATTCATTAAGTATCTACTGTGTGCCAGGAACTGTTCTAGGCTCTTGGGATTCAGTGACAATTAATACGACAAAAATCCCTGCTGGCCAGGCGTGGTGGCTCATGCTTGTAATCCGAGCACTTTGGGAGATCAAGGTGGGTTGATCACTTGAGGAGAGGAGTTTGAGACTCGCCTGGCCAACATGGTGAAACCCTGTCTTAACTAAAGATACATAAAAATTAGCTGGGTGTGGTGGTGTGCACCTGTAATCCCAGCTACTCGTTAAGCTGAGGCAGGAGAATTCCTTGAACCCAGGAGGCGGAGGTTGTGGTGAGCCGAGATCGTGCCACTGCACTCCAGCCTGGGCAACAGAGTGAGATTCTGTCTAAAAAAAAAAAAAAAAAAAAAAAAAAAATTTTTCCCTTGTAAAGCTCACATTGTAGTTGCAGGGAGGGAAACAGACAGAGTGAGATTCTGTCTCAAAAAAAAAAAAAAAAAAAAAAAAATTTTCCCTTGTAAAGCTCACATTGTAGTTGCAGGGAGGGAAACAGACAGAGTGAGATTCTGTCTCAAAAAAAAAAAAAAAAAAAAAAATTCTCCCTTGTAAAGCTCACATTGTAGTTGCAGGGAGGGGAACAGACATAAAGCTTGTAAATAAGCAAATGATACATAATGAATCAGATGGTGATAGGTGATATAGAGAAAGATAAAGCAAAAAACGGGGTCCAGGCGCGGTGACTCAAGCCTGTAATCCTAGCACTTTGGGAGGCTGAGATGGGCAGATCACCGGAGGTCAGAAGTTTGAAACCAGCCTGGCCAACGTGGTGAAACCCCGTCTCTACTAAAAATACAAAACAATTAGCCGAGTGTAGTGGCAGGCGCCTGTAATCCCAGCTAATCGGGAGGCTGAGGCAGGAGAATCACTGGCACCCAGGAGGTGGAGGTTGCAGTGAGCTGAGATCACGC